TACTTACTGTAATATGGAGGAGTTGTGTGGTTCAGGAGGAGGATGGACAAGACTAGCATATCTGGATATGAGTGACTCTACAGTGAACTGTCCTTCTGGGTTTAGACTGTACCAGTCAGGAGGAGTTAGAGCTTGTGGTAGACCAGTAACAAGCAGTGGTAGCTGTGTATCAGTTCAGTTCCCATCTAATGGTATCAGTTATTCTCAGGTGTGTGGTAGAGTAGTGGGATATCAATACTATACACCTGATGCAGTTGATAATTATTTTGTCAATGATTCAAATTATAATGATTTAAATAGCTATTATGTTGATGGTGTTAGTATCACTCGTGGGTCTCCTCGTCAACATGTCTGGACACTAATGGCTGCCAGTTTTGAAGGAAATAGCAACCCTTATGATATTGGTCCTTGTGCTAATGGTTCGTTGCAACAAGTTCAATCATTTGTTGGTGATCATTATTTCTGTGAATCAGCAGTTGCTTCTAATGTAAAACGGCTAAAGCAATTGTACACATCTGATCCACTCTGGGATGGTCAAGGTTGTGGTTTTGCTGAAACAGCTTGTTGCAATGCTACTGGTATCCCATGGTTTCACAGAGACTATGGTAACACTACCACTACTGGCTATATTGAGTTGAGGGTGTGTGGAGATGAGGGAACTGATAATGAAGATGTTCCTGTTAGCCATTATGAGATTTATGTTCAGTAGAACAGCTTTTATTTTCAACCTTTTTGTTAGCTGTAGTTTTAGCTTGTATCTGATATAGAACAGTCATATTTAATGTAATTTTAATTGAATTGTTCACAATGTAATTGTGCATTCTTTGCTTCCTTTTCTCTATTTCCTAATGAATTCAATTGAACCAATTATCTAACTCTTATTTTTTTTAATGGTGTGTTCTTTGTTCTGCAACTGTACAAGATAAATTGGTCGGAGTTTGATTATGTGGCATTTTATCTTGAAAATTTTGGAACCAAAGATGCATAATAGAAAACATAAGCAGCCAATCTCTTTAAGTTCATTTGAAGCACACCGTTCAGCAAGACAAAGTTTTACCACACATTTGTTACAATGTTGCTCCAACATAAACTACACTGTCCCTGTATTTGTGTGTATGTAGCAGTTTGTAAGTCCATTAAACTAGTGTTCAACTTCAATGCTTCTGTACACAGGAGGAGGAAGTTATGTCACTGCTTAGATTCTTGTGCTGCAATTGGCATGATCATTTAGTCTGTTCCAATTCTTATATACAAATTTGTTACACACACTCATTAACAAACCTGTATTGCAGAAGTAGTAGCAAAATGCTTATTGGTGTACTACTGCTTATGATTGTTATTCACTACACATCCAGTTACAATAGACATACTAGTGCTTATCTACTCTTAACATTCCTAGCCCTGCCTTAATTTGTAGAGTAGTATTCTCTGCATTAGTTAAGAATGCTACACACATACCACTACAGATATTGGTTGCCACATCAAATTTACTAAGCAGTATTAGCATTACTGATAACTAATGAAGTAAGTATAGTAAGTATATAGTATATTATTAAAAGGAAATTTACCTGATGAAAGTCATGTTCTAAAACTATTTGAATGTTTTAACATTTTGCTTTTACAATAGTCAGAGCCTGACTAATTACGCCAATCTTTCTATTTACTCTAAAAGCATAAATTTTTCTGTAATTGTTATGTTGTAACTAGTAAATTCTACTAATTTTTTGTTAAATCTTGCATTTATTTGGTCTGGCACAATTGAACAACAGTTTTGCTCTAGTCGTATTGTTATAGCAGAAGCAACAATGGAACGTCTTGTTAAAGAAAATCAATATTCCACAGCTGATGAAGTGATGCATGAAATGAAGGCACTACCTTCCAGTCAGCCAGAGCTACAGTGTCAAGTACAACCTCAGCACAGCAAGAAATACACTGGAGACAAATGGTTGCTTCGAATAATAGCAATAGTGCTAGTTGTTATTTTGTTGTTGCTTATCGTTATAGTGTTTATGTGTGGCTTTATAATATCACAATCATCTCCTGCTGAATGTAGCACTACTGCTCCTGGTGCTACAACTGCTGGTCTGACTGCTACTGACAATCGATTGTACCAGTTGTTTAATCACTCACTCATTTACTTTGCTCAAGAAATTCATAAGAACATTGGTAATATTGTCAATGGATCAACTAACAGCACCCAAGCTTTGGTCCAGGGAAGCATTGAACAATTGGCCCTTCTAGTTGATATTGCTCAAGAAATCAAGAGGAAAGTCAACAGTACAGATGACCTTCTTGAGGCTACTGTTCTTACAAACAACATTACTAACAGCACTAAGGCTCTTGTGCATGGAAACATTGAACAATTGGCCCTTCTAGTTGATGTAACTCAAGAAATCAAGAGGAATGTCAACTATACACATACCAATCAACTCCTTTCTCATATTACTAATGTTACTCACATCAATAATGCACTTGCTTGGGACCACATAAATGCTCTTTCTTTGATTGAAACCTCGTTGAACAACAACACAGATTTATTTAAAATGTTTGCTGCATCTAATAGTGATTCCTTTGCTGGCATTTTGAACACTCTGTCTAATATACAAGACACCAGTAGCTTTATTGCTGGAGTAGTTGATGATAT